CCCCCCCGAAACGTCTCTAATCGCGTCCCGAACCCGTGTCGAACCGAGACGGCTTGCTATTCGGGCCGGCCTTAACGTCGGGTGTCGAACGGTCGTCCTCGTCGACGCGTGGCCGATAACAATGTCGTTGTCATCGTCTGTTACTATGGCGTCATTGCCGCCGCTACTTGCGCTTACCGCGTACCGGGCGTTTCGGCGTTTCGGCGACAATAACGTCCGCCGCCCCCCCCCCCGTGGCGTATTTGTTACGGGCGTTCAGGAACGGACAGCCGCGGACGGGGTTTCCGTGCGAATTTGCGCGCATTGTGTGCCGCGTATCCGTGAATCCGGACGTTTCGCCCGCTCGTACCCCGACGCCCGGGTACGTTGTTTGTCGGGTTGTTAAAAATATTTTGAAACGCGCACAACAGCCGTCCGGGCCGCCGCTATACGCTATCGCGCGGTTATTCCCGCGTCGTAACATTGTAATCGCGGTGCGGACGAGACCGCGGTGATCGGCGGGCGGCGCGTCGGAAATTTACGGACCNCCCCCCCCCCCATCGCACCGCCGAGTACCGCGGCGGCCGCCTTATACCCGGGCCGGCGTTATTTCGCAAGGGTATGGAATATTTTAACGCGCGCACAGCAGCGCTACCCACCCGTACGTCTTCCCGGTACGGCGTTCGCGCCACCCCGTCCCCTGGGCAACGGAAAACCACGACCACGATCCGCGTTTCGGCGGAGGGCGGAATATTTCCGACGGTGATGTATCGCCCGTTTCATACCCAGGCCCCGAGCCGTGCCGGAGTAATAACGCGTAGCGTACAGCGATGTACGCGCGGAAACTGATTTATTTACGTTTCGGAAACCTCCGGGCTTACCGTGCCGGGGTTTTTATTTTTTATTTTTTTTCCAGTATCATATCAACAGAAAAATAAAGTAAAAACGTCGAAAACGCATGGACCTATACGCGAATTGAAAGGCACGGCGCTTTTTTAAATTTATATTGCGCGGACGCGCATTACGCCCTTTACATAAACATCGAACAGTGATGTTTCGGAGGGTATACGGCCTATTTACCGTTCAGTGAGCTATACCCGTATACCCTGCGGAAAATGAACAAATACGCGCGTACGCTTTAAAAAAAAAAAAAAAAAAAAAAAAAAAAGATACAAATTGAAATGCGCGTGTAGCCTGTACACTATATGAAATTTATTAATTAAGCCAGCTGCAGTGTTCTGTACTCGTAATTATTTATCATACGATATTTATCAATAACTGTCTAAAATTAAGAACCGCTTAATCGGTTAAATATGATCGGTTATTAATTATTATTATTACCACGTATTATCCTTTGTTTCATGTTGTTGCGCATCGTGCGTTTTTTTTGCCTGTTATACCTATGTCAAAATATTTCGAAACAATAAACCTAAACGTTTGTTTAAATACATTTTATAATTGTATTTTTATGTTTGATAATTCATTTTATATCAAATTATGTTGGTATTTTTGATGGATTTCGTTGTGAGTTTTATTTTACAATTTTCAATTTGATAGTAAAATAATTACTTAATAAAATTATCAAGTTAAATCTGACCTGTGAAATAGTTCTTAATACTGAGGTACAAAAATTAAAACGTGTAAAATCGGGTTACAAAAAAAATGATTTCGCTAAAGTTTGTAAATATGTCAATGTACCTATAATGTGCAAGATCCATGAAAAATAGTTTTTCTCGAGCAAAGAGATCGGCCTTTTGAATGGTTTAGGTTAAACCATTTAATGTGTATCGTTTTGTGCTCATAAAAACACAATATTCGTTGATTAAATTTATAAATGAGCCTATAGGTATAAGTACACCTATAAGTTTTTTTACGAAAACAACACTGCCAATAACAAATATAAAAATAATTAGCAATAATATAAACCGAAAACTAACTCTTCTCGACAGCAATAGCCTTATGCCATAATCACTACAATTTTGATATTTTGTTCCTTAATTATTAATAAATCCCCTCTAAATTATTAATTTCCACACTCCAAAAACGAAAAATCCAAAAACGACGTAATTTAAGTAACTGCCCAGTCCAATTGAAACTCGTGATCGTATGTTATCATACGTCACGTCTCGGACGATATGTGTGGGCGGGACGTTGACGGTGTGCTCATGTTGTAGGTACAGTTATGTATATGGTACCGACCAAACCCGATTTCTGAGTAAACTAGTTTATCCTCTAAACCAGATGTTTTAAACCTTTAAAACGCCGATATGCATAAATATGTTATGTAAGTATATAAATCGTATGATTTAAGCGATACGGAACATTAAATATGTTAATAGATACTAATAGCTATGTATTAGCACGTAGAACATTAACCATTTATATTTGTTTTTGAATGACAATTATGAACTCACTCAACGTGAAATATTATAGTGCTGAATTATCTTAAATTTTAATTTTCGTAATTTAAAACGGACAAACAATTTCGTATTAGATATCTATCAATTAACTCTATCCATACAGTACCTACATTACTACGTAAATAACTAGAAAATGTAAAATGCCTATAAATCGCTCAAAAACGTTTTCAGAATATTTTGAAAATTTTACCACGTCAAAGGCCAAAATAATTTGTCTAACAACCTCTTTCCATCGCTACGTTTCGAATCTAAATAAAAAATAAATATACATGTATTTTCGTAACATTTTTTGATAGTATTATTTATAATACTCTTACATTTTATTTGGCAGGTCAGTCAACTAGTTAGTAACCAAAACGGTTTATGTGCTTAGTTCATCGACAAACAAGTCGATATAATTACATTAAAAAATATCCAATTAAAAAATAGTCTTATGTTAATTCTTGTTCGAGTGTTTGGCTGCTATCCGTATTTGTGTCATGATATTTTCTAATTTCTTCAATTACCATCCAAAATCTTTTTTTCTCGGTAATTTTCAAATCGTCAATTGTCTTTTTAGTCCATTTCTTTGTGTCCGAAATAAGATTTTCCTCATGTTTGTAAATCTGTTCCAAGTGTTTTTCACCGGATTCACTTGCGGCGTCTATGATTTCATATCTAAAAGTTGAAATCCCCGTGAAATCGTAAATATAGTATGTAATAGCATTAAATAACTTAAGTCATAAAACATAGGTAAATCAGGATATGTAAAACAGTTAATTTAATTTTGTTTTTCAATATTAAAAAAAAGTTACCACCACACAGTAAGTATTATTTTTATGGATTCTTATTTATCGCCATTTATCAATCCGACTAAAATTACTCTTGAAAACAAATAGATATAATTGTTTTTAATTTAATAACTAATTGTCTCCTTCATAACTATAATAATATTTTAGGTAATTACTTATTTTCAAATCGATTCGTGATTTCTTGTGGTATAACTTTTTGGCGATTATTTACGGTCGCCCTTACGTTGTCCATCAATATTTGTGAATAGTCAGTTTCAGATTTTCGGATATTGGCATATATTGCAGCTACCGATTCGGTAAACATTTTTAATTCATCTTCCAGTTTACTTTCATATTTGGAAATCATTGACATGAGAGACTCGTTTATATAAATATTATTCATATGCAAACGATCGGTCAAAGCTATCATTTCATCCTCCAATTCTAATGTAACAGATTCTATTGGATCCAAATCCAATGATCGATGTGAAAATAAATTTCCAGAATTATTGATCGTTATTACAGATCCGTTTTCGTTATCTTTACGTACTTTGATTCTCATTTGTGTAATTTCATCGTGTTCTCTTATCAGCTTACGATTTTTATTTGTCCACTCTCTTTCAAATGTGTAATAAGCCATTTTAAACTTTAACGATTTTTCTTCTTGACCATCGATTCTGAAAGTTAATAATAAATACAGTATGTAATAATATATGTTTAAACAATATATGTTTTATTTTTTAAACAAGTTTATACTTTTTCAATCTTATTATATTCAAAGCAATTGCATTCTCCTTAATTTGTTTTTCATATTCTACAAAAGACTTCAGCACGTTTTTATTCAATTTACTAAGTATTTTCCAAGCATTATCATCTTTATATATTACATTATACATAAATTGTTCACCATTCGCATCAGTTAAAATGTCTTGGCGTTCATCTGGTGCCTGTGATAAATTATGGCGATTATACTCCAGTTCATTTTCCGGCAGAAGTATCATCGATTTTGGTATACGTTTAGAGTTGATGTACTGTAAATTTGGAAATTTAACAGTTTTAGCTTCAAAGTCGGCCGGCGTAAAGTATTCAGTGGCAGGATTGTTCATAATATCCAAAACTTTTAAGTACTTAAAACGTGTCAAATAGAATAATTCATCAATATTAGTTATTTTATTATCATTGATAAGTAGAGTTTGTAGTTGTGAAATTGTATCCAAGTTTTCCAACTTTGAAATCTTGTTGCCACTTAAGCTAATAAATGTTAGCGCGGTCAAATTGTCTAGATTTTCAATTTTCAATATATTATTATGCGATAAGTCTAATTTTTCTAGTTTTGTAAGCTGATCTAGGTTTTCGATCGTTTGTATCTTGTTTTGAGCCAATCTTAAATACTTTAGGTTTGTAACTAATGTGAAGTTACAAATGTGTACAATATTTAAAAAACTCAAATCCACTTCTGTAATAATGTTCCAATCGAATTTTGATTCCAACGACAAAAATCGAGATACGTCTTCACTGCATTGTTTTAAGTATGTTTTTTTAATGATCTCTGAAGAGGGTATAAGGAATTGAAGATTTTTATTGATTTCGTCCATTTTGACAATTGAAACAAAACCAAAAAATAAAAAAACAAAAAAATACTGACCGTCAAAAAGTATAACGTGTACTTAAACAAATTAAAAATGCATGCTTAAACTATTGATATTAATCACTTACTGAAATACTAAGCAACACAGAACTGAACTCATTTATAATAATTTCTTTTAACTGTCCAAGTGATTAAAATCACAAAATTGTCTATCTATAAAAATTGCAGGTTTTAAACACTTTTTCCCTTTTTGATAGACAAGTAAAAAAAGACTCTAATTTTTTTTTTGGTACAGTTTTACCCGGTGATATTTAATTTTAATTTGTTTTTTCTAAATTCCCAATATTTTTTCTAAAATATAAAAAACCGACTTCATGACGTGACAATATACCGTGCACTTTAGAAAATTATAACTTCCAATTTTTGACCTGACCTTCTATTTGCATGTTGTCAAATATTTCGAGAAGTACTATAAGTATCTACCTAGAAAATAGATAATAGTTATCTGGTTAATATTTAAATATTTTCAATTGAAAAATATGAAAGTGTTATTTGATAGCTGATTAAGCGATAGCAGATAAATGTAAGTTTAAAGCTGTCTAATAATTAGAGCAGAAATGTTTTACCATTTACATATTTATTTTACAAAGTTTTAAAATTATTTAAGTCCGAAAGAAATGTATTTATTTTTACAAGAAAGTCATTAGCTAAAATTATAAATTTATGTTACATGTTTTGTGTTTATTTAGTTAATTATCACTTAGTTATTTTATTTTGATAGTGAAAATAAAATATATACTCTATGATCATCTACAAAATGAATAACAAAAACTGAAAAAAAAACAAAATTAAATATTTCCAATATTAGTGTACACAAATTTCCAAGGAGTAGAGGGTAGCAACCTCATTTATCCACGGGGGGGGCAGTACTTCATTGTAGACACTCGGTGCCTAAAAATATATAACTATAGGCTGTCTGTATATATATATAACTATAAAACCGGAAATCTTGTTCTAATTATCGACTTCTAGGGTGATTTTCGAAAATGTCGTCTGATCAGTGAGTTGAATGGGGTTCTTTTTTCGGTTTGCATTTTTTTCAATTAATATAAAAAACTGGGCGAGAAAGGTAGAAGGGGGGGGGGATGTGTGCAATGAGAATAATTACAAATTCGCGGTTTCTGTTAATCTAAAAAACCTCGATATAAATATTACTCAAACAATTACCGTCGAATCGAGTATTCCGAAGTTTACAATTGTAAAAGTGTAGTTATTATATCCAAATACAATAAATATAATATAACAATATTTGTTTCATAGGTATGTAATCGAATTGTACGGTTTGTAACAATCTGCGTTTTATAATGACGCAAACGTCGATTTATTTGGTTTTTGAACACTTCACAAGATCGTAGTAGTTCTCGCGGAATAATTATAATGTCCGTTTAATCAACAGCTAAAACAAAATGTAAATTTCGAACATAATACACTTACAGACTTACGGCACGGTGCCGAAATATATCGTTGAAATGGGTGCAGTTTTTTTTTTCGTATTTACGAAAAAACTCTTTCAAAATTGTTTTTTTTCCATTCAAGTTATTCTATGCTTTTAAGGTTCATTCTTTACTATAGAAAAACAATACTTCCGACCTGCTTACTTATCATCGTCATTTCATCGTTACATGCCAGTTAGCTAGTTTTTTTTTTTTTTTTATCACATGTCTTTTAACGGCCGTTCTGCATATACACATAAATTCGAACAGCGTGTGGGTTTTATTTCAGTATATTTTATTAACACCAATTTAAGATATTTTTAAATTGTTCAATAACACGTCTTGCTTTTCTATTTCGTTTAGAAAGTACCTAACGCATTGTTGTGTCGACTAAAAAACTATTAAAATATATTGTGTTGCGGGTATGGTGCGTCGCCGGACAGTAATTCGAATCGTAAACGACTCCTTAATTTTTAATTTGTTACATTTTGACCTTCGAATCATCTGAGGTTTACAATTGTCCAACGTGATTATATTTTATGTCGTCCGTGTAGTTTCATTAATATTGGTAAAAACCTACAGCCTACGTACCTACAGCCGCTTCAAACTGCTGTGTATAATTTTAAATGTTTTAAATCGAGTCTGCAGAATGTCAGTGTACTGAACCGTATGTACAATTCGAGATTATACTACATCGTCGTCGTGAGTAATACGATCGAATATGTCGGGTCTGTATCTATACAACCTGGTAGTCTACTGTCAAAAAAGGGCGAATTGATAATAAACAAAATGTCTTTGACGCCGTCTAAAAAGTGACAGAGTTAAAGAAAAATGTACATATGTTATTGAATTTTGATTTCAGTCAAGAACAACGTGTTAAGCAGTTCCTAGACCTAGAGATTAGGGATATATATATTTTTGTGTTTTTAGTATTTACTATTTACTGTTTATGTTTATGGGCCTCGCCACTAAAGATTATTTTTTTGGCGAAATTCGAAATTTGGTTTCTCGAACAGAGCACTGATTTTGATAACAAAATTTAATAATTTGCGAAATATGATGATCAACGATATACCTTCACAGTGATTTGCCACGCACTACTGAATAATAAACTGTATGAGTATTAACTATTATTATGCTCTGATTTAAATGCCCTAAAAAATATATAAAAAAAAAAAAAAAAAAAAAAAAAAAAAAAAAAAATGCCCTTTCAATGAATTAAATGGACTAAAAGCGTTAGACAATCGGCCACACACATCACAGGTATAACATTATCGCTCGATAAGTGATTACGGTAACTTTTTTAAGGAATTTTCTATTTTAAGAGTGGGTGCAAATATATTTCGCCCACCTTTCTCTCGTAAAAAATGCCGAGATCGTCTTAGATGATAAAATTTTAAGCGGGCAGAAAAAAATTTAACAAAAAGAAAACAGGATCACCGAAGCCTTAAGCCCACAAACGACGCTACTGCCCTGCATGACGGCTTATTTCCCGTTCTAACACTCATTGCATATCGTTTCGGGTACGTGCGTTTTTCTCGGGTAAACGCGCGGGACACGTAACGCGTTTCGGATCTAGTCGGCGCGCACGAAATACTCTTAAAAGTTCTGATTCGCGTCGCTTAACCGGGATCGCTGACAAACACGACTGCGTTATATTATGTCCGTGATGTTTATTTTAAAACCGACGATAAAATCAACAATAAATGCGAGCGATATTATTTCACCCGCTTCGTCTACTCATCGCATTAACCGCGAAACGACGACACGGCGGGCTTGACGTTTAATAACCTCTTGGCCATGATGTCGTTGATCCGTGCGATCTCGACGCGTTCCGCTTGCCGCTTGAGGTACGACGACGATTTGTGACCGGGGGGCGAACGGGCGCCGCGAGACGCCGCGAGATTCGATGACTTGGCCGCGGGCGGTTTTGACTTTTTGCACACGTACGCGTCATGGATGCGTTTTTCCTTCTGTTTTTTGTCGAACGTGGACAGCGGTTTTACCGATAGCAGGTTACTGGATGCGGTCCAAAGGTGCCTGAACGGCTCGTCTTTAAGCGGTGCTGCGACTGCGGCCGCGGTGCCGGCGGCGTTCGGTCTCATAGCGGCGACGCGGGCACCCCCGTCTTGCCAACCGGGAATTTTGACCGACGGTTTCGAATCGAAGTCACCCGTCCGGTTGTCCGTGTGACTCCGGGATACCACGCCGGGACTCCGGTCCACTGCCGCCGCTGGCCCGGCCGGTACGCCACAACCGTCGGCGACTCCGTCGATCGTGAGACACCGCAGCCCGGACGCCCCGCAGTCGTCCACGTCGTCGTTGCGGTCGTTGTCGTTTTCGTCGTCGCCGTTGTCGCTGTTCGATGACACGTAGTGATACGATTCGACGTCCGGATAGTCAGAGTTCTGCTCGCAGTCTCCGGTGGACATCGCTCGGCCCGCGCGGCTGCCGGCGACGGCCGACTCTGCAGCTGTTGCCGTCGCGGTCCAATGCGAAAACCGGTCGTGGTCCGACGGCGGCGGAACGTTCGCGTGCGCCGGGACAACGGTACCGTTCTCGCCCTGCCGGGGTACCGACGGCACCGCGACAAACTCGGCCGGCTCAAGGTCACTGGCGGCGGCCGCGTGGCGGACGTCCCGCGACTGCAGTCCGTCGCCGCCGTCGGAAGACAACCAGTCGGAAAACAGGGACTCGTCGGACGCGTTTTCGACGCCTTGGCCGCTCGGAGACGGGACGATCTCCATCCCTCGATGCACCCGCGTAATAATATTGTTGTATACGTGTATTATGATACTGACCGGATGCCGTCGCACTACAATCTTCCGGCACACGAATTACAACGCTCGCGGGCACTGCATTACGTTAATACCTTCTATACAGTGAAAAAAACACAAATACACACGTGTCGCAATATGCGTGCGGTTCGATCGACAATCCGAATTATAACATATTATTATTTCGAGCACATGTACAACAAGAGTGACGTTGCGTTAGTTATTAATTAGGTTATTTATTTGTTTGTTTTTTCTTGTTCCCACGAAGCTGTAATAACATTATAACTAGTGGCCGGATTTATATGTTTTTAAAATCCACGAAAAAACCACTTGAAAACGTCAAAAAGCCTTGAAAAAAATCACTTAAAAAAATACTTAAAAACGTAAAAGTAATAGAGGAGTTTAATAGTCCCTCGGATTTAATTTATAAATAAAATTGTCTAACACCACGAAAATGATTTGGTAATAAAAAGTAATGTTTTTTTTTTTTTTTTTTATATAATACGTACGATTTGATTTAAAAGAAATTATTTTGTTTAAATCAATTTTATAGTGTTAAGAAATTTAATTTAATAAGTGGTCATTAGTGAGAGGGGGACTTTTAAACTCCTTAATAATTTTCGCTTTTTTTTTTTAAATATTTTTCAGAGCTTTTTTGACGTTTTTAGAGGGTTTTTATGGATTGTAAATGTAATAAGTTCCGAGCTCATAGTTATACCTATGATGTAGACATTTAAAATCAATTCTTCATGGTTTTTAATAATTGAATAAGATAATTTGATTTTTATATTAAATGAATTGTTCTATTTATTTGTACTATTAAATTTCAACAAGACACGCATTGTAAGTGAAAACTATTTTAAAACCTTAACGTGACATAAGAGATAGTAAGATCGTTTTAAAATTATCGATATATTTGATCCTCGGATCTTAACGAGAAGTACTTGTTTAAACTTAATAAATTAATATGTTTAAACCAAAATAAATGTTACTTATAATAAGTTATAGTTTTGACTCACGTGGTTAATACCAACTGTTGTTATAAAAAAAAACTAAACGGACGTGGTGAGTGGGCCGCAGTTGTAGGTGAAAAAAATTACGATTTAAAAATAATAAATTTCGTAAATTGTTCCGTTTTTCCTATGGTTTTTCCATTAATAACTGAAAACCCATGGGAAAATCGTAAAATGAAGTACCAACCCCATCCAGATTTTTATGAAAGCAGACCTTTTTCATCTTTTTTGCTTGAAACTGTAAGTTGTGTCCCAACTCGGAATGTGCACTAGGCCCCCCGATTTAGTTAATCTAGAATATTTTGTTACGGACATTAGAATTTCTAGTTTCACCACTGCAATTATGTACAACATAATTATTAATATACTAGTACAAATGTTAATACCTGATTCATGTAATTATAATGCTTGTGGTGGAATTAGGGAGTCTAATTCATTTATTAATTTGTATTTAATTGGAACATTATGATAATAACACAAATTTATTTTGTATAATATGTGGTTTATAAATTAACATAAAAATTCATTTAGAAAGTTACATAGGGAAAAAAAAATAAATAAGTCTACTAATGAAATAGACGTGCGTATCATTTTTTTTTAATTTCCAGTATAAAATATGTTGTTCAGTTATTACTAATTAGTTTAATATTTCATTTTTCTAACAGTTTAGATATCCGGGATAATTTTCACATTTGTATGAATGTTTATATTATTATTAAAGGAGGATGTCACGGAAGACTAATTGCATGTTTTATTTTATAATTTCATTTGAATACAATACACACATATTTTTAATAGATATAATATACAGTTGTATGTGATTAAGGTCATTTAATCATTCCTCCCCTTCGTCGTACTTTTGACGTCTTCGACATCCTCTTTCCAGGTATTACGTTATTACATTCAAAATATTATGGAAAATGCTTGATTGCCGTGATAATAAAATACTACAGTATTATTAATAAATAATAATTGTATTTGTTATATTTGTTATAAACCTGTTTGAGAATCTGAAAAAAACTATAACGACTACTAGATCAAATATGCCACAACAGATATATTTTAATTTATTTGTTTAAAGAAACACGTATGTAAAACACTCACAAAAAAAAAATAATAATAATAATAATAAAAAATTACGAGTACCAACGATGGGTATCCTCGAAAAACTATCCGTCGCTGAGGTTATTTCTAAGAATCAAACTACTCATAAGATTTACGTATTGTCTAATATGCAAGTCATAAAAATTAAGTGATCCAAACCTAAACAATAGTTTGAAAAAAAAACTGGAGAAAAATCAACCTCATTATGCGTAACTTTTAATTAAGGACCATGAAATCATGTTACTGCAAGACCAACAAATTTCAGAAGGTTTTTTATTTAAATATTTATATTAATTAGTTAAATAAATAAAAATGAAAAATTATGTTGATAAGGAAAATAAGTTAGTATACCTCTTGAAGATAGCTTCAAGAGCGAATCGGCTTCTCGGGAAATTTATTTGTGCACGTGGGCCAGTTTGATTCATACTTCTCAGGCCAATAAAAATCGTAAATCTGCCCTAATATACTTCATGATTTATTTACATACAATTTCGTTAGTTAAGTTAAGTATCGAAATTGCAATTTAGACTTTACAACAGAAAAGTATGCGATTTAAAATTTTCTCCACGATAATTTAAAATTACTAAAATTATGAAATATTTATTATTATAAAAGATATTAAGTTTAGATAAAGATAGATTAAATTTATTTGACTGAAAATAAAAATCTTTTTTTCATTTTTGTTATTTTTTTCTTGTTTTTTTTTTCCTGTTAGTTTTTTCTTCATATTTTTTATAATTCATAATTTATACTATTTAAGAAAATGATCACCAAAAGCTATATTTGAGTCATTCAGAAGCTTATACTATAGTGAATATAATGACCAAACAGACAATTTTTTTTTAGGAAAGTCCTTTGCTTTGTATTTTTTTAAATTAGATTTTATATACTTAACTTCCATTACACAATGAAATATTTACCAAATCTACTAAATTTACCTATACCTATTGGGTACTTATAACAAAATATCGATCATCCTCATGACCTAGCTCTGATCATGCCACCAATTGTGTTGTGAAAATAAAAAATTAACGTGTAATGAATTCGACGAATAAAAAGTCATTATTCATAAATTATACTTAATAACGGTTGAAAAAAAGGTCAAGGTAATGTAAATATTTTAGGTTATGATGGACAGTGCATATACTTTATTTTAACGATTACATTACATTCAGCCGAATCATCATGAGTGGTTTTCTTTACAAGCACATGTCAACGTCAAAAATGTTTAAACTTACCTGAATAGGTGGTGGTGGCCACGCAGTACAATATAATTACTATAAACGCAAGTATTATGAGTCGATGTTATCGAAAACAGTTTGAAACCATTACAATAATACCCTAGCAGTGTACACGGCGATAAGTGTTAAAAATGAAAATTTCAAAAAAATGATCTAAAAAAAACAGTAATGAGCATTATCTAGATGAAAATAAATTAACTAGATAAATTAATATTTTTTATCTTATTAGAATATTCAAAAAAATTGGGAATCTGGTCAATTACCTTAAATGAAAAATTGTGTTATCTAACTTAAACCATCTGGATAAATAAACATCGGATAATTCAATACAACCATAGTAAAAAAAAAAAAAAACGGACATACTTCGCACGTAGGTGCAGCCAATGTTTTAGGTGGGAAATTGGGAAGCTAGTCTACAAACGGGAATTTAATGTATATCTATAAGCAAGGATAAACCATTGCTAACAAAAAAACGGTTCTGAGCCAAGTTTAGTTGATAATGTTGCTTTGTTAACAATACAATATATAGCATTATGTCATAATATGGAAAAATGATTAAAACAACACGACAACAATGATTGTTTAAAAAATATTAAAATAATAAAAACTTAATAATAACAGAAATTAAATCCTATTTTAAAATTTGGAAAAAGCGGGTAAGTTTATGTTTTTTAGTGATGATATTACGGTTATATAATATTTTATTATTTAGTATATTTTTTTCCCTTTCTTTAAGGGCGATAAACAAAATGATCGCATTATTATTCACCAAGGAGATGAATCCGTTATTTCCTAACACGAGTGGCTCCGGGGATGTATAAAATCGAAATTAGGTCGGAGAATATTATTTAAATTGTATAATTATAGTGCTTGAAAAACGAGATAATAGGTAAAAGGTAAAACTCATCAGGGACAGAGCAGGCACTCGTACACTCCCGTATAACGTTGTATCCGTTATAATCAAACGGTCTTAAATATTTATTTATAATTATTTTTTATTCAATATCAATTAACCTGGTTTCCGCCGAGGGGACACGACGGTAATCGGCCTGATAAAATGTCAGCGCTCCCTTATAAAAAAAAAAAAAACAAAAAACAAAAAACAACGCAATTTTAATAAAAACCGTATCGATAAAGACGTTTTGAAAAAAAATATATATTTTTCTCGGCGTTCGCTGCGCTATCGGCTCCGAAACCGAACTTGTACCGAATACCACGCGGAAATTTAATATCGCTGTATCGCCTCACGATTTATAGTTTCGCGCGCGTGACTTTTCTCGCTCTTTTTCGACAAAGTTTATGCGCGTATACTACTGGTGCGCGTAGAATCTGTAATTTCCCGAAAAGATCTCGTCCCCGTAGTCGTCGTACCGTACGTAATTTATTATATTTCGTCAAGGGAAATTCAATAAAAAAAAAAAAAAAAAAAAAAAAAAAAATGCGTGTGTACATACGTGTGTATTGTACACCTTGTTATTATTATAGGTGTATCATACATGCAGTCGCGGGGTAACCGTGCGGGCCCCGCGGAGAAAATTACATAATTTGAGCACGTTTCTCCCTAATAATACAATACACGCATTTTACAGCGGCCTCATACGCATAGCTACGT